TGCACTCACAAAATTGGTTGGTAAATTCAACGAGTGGGTGCATCGACCTGGTATATCAAGTTTCTGCAATTTTTTACGGCAAATCAGTAGATTTTCGGGATGTAGATTGCTTACTTTCAATTCATGAATGAATAAAGCAACGACATGGTTGAACTTCTTTGCATGGAAAGACGTTTAAAATAACAAAATCAAGACGTATTTAATGCAATTGCATTTATATCGAGTCAATTTCTTTTCAATAATATAACGGGATTTTTACTACCGGTGATTTGGGTATTTTAGCCCCAAAATACCTTTAAATCGACTTTATCTTCTAGGAGTTCGACAGAATTTTTCCTTTCTTCGCTTAAATTATTCCGTAGCACTTTTCTTCAAGAATCTGATAAGATTTTGCTTGAGGCAGATCAAAAAACTTAAATTCGATCGAATAGCTTTCTACTTTCACAATACACGGTCTCGTCAAGGTGCGTCTTTGACCTCGCAGTGTTGGATCGTGAATTCTCTTTTTATGCTGTTTGCCTATTTTGAAATCTCTGTAAATGAAAACTAAAGGGGTTGATATGTGCGAGTTAATGACGCGCCTTATCAACACATTGTGTTGGAGTTCACTGCTTGTTTTACCTTGCAAATATCGACTGATCATCTAAACAAGTTTCATCTCCCAATCCCAATAATCTATAAATTCAAGACGAAATTTGCCGATGTAAATTTAATTTTTTGCATGATTTCAGAAATTTCATTTCAAAGAGTGAAGGTTGTACAATCTTAGCTACGTTGGAATGCTCTTGGTTCCTTTTCGCAAAATGCAATCCATTCAGTCAAGAATGTGAATGTGTTTTTCAAATTGTCTCTACTGGCATTGGTTAATGAAATAAAAGGTCTAAATGCTTGGGGTCGCGTCCATATACGTCTCGCGCAATGCACTGTTTTTATATTTGAATTGGAAAAAGGTCCAAGTTACTTACTTCAATCTTAATGGTCTCATTTCCCGAGAATGTGAGAGACTGCAAGTCCGGTTTCAGGTACAGTTCATAATGAATTGGTCCTACATTCGTAGGCAACCTTTCAAATGGTTTCTTCGTTTCCATCACAACCACATCGACGGCTTTCAGAATCCGGAGGGTCCTTTTTTGAAAGTCTTAAACGATACAATTTCACCTGAAACATATTTTTCGTCAGTGATCCATGGAATGTTTTCTATACATAAGCTAGGCGTATGAAGACAAGTACGCATGTCTAATAGGTGACTTTCACGTGATGCGGGGAAACAAAAATATAAAAGGGGAGAAAATAGAGCTCATATGAGGAAAAGCAGGTTCCTACTCGGTGAATTTAAGTTCTTGATTCAAAAAAGCCCTGCACAAGTCGCGTAACTGAAAAAGAAAGAAGTGTAGTACAGTACTTAACGCCCCCCCCCCTTTCCCACTAAAAAATTGGAATAATAGACTTTCGGAGGTAGTCTCGTATTTTGTGGTTGGACAGTTATCATCAGATTGATAAGGACCTCGTTGGACGACATGCGACAATATGACTCTTTGGATGATAGAGGGAAAGATAAGATAAAATTGAAATATTCAGTGCATAGCTGTCTATGCACTGGTCTGGTGGTGTTCTGGTCTGTACCAGAACTGATTTTTTCTAGAATTGTTATTATATCCTCTCTATTCTAAAAAAATCATTTTTAGGACGCTCGATGGGTTGGAATGAGGAAGGGGGATTCAAAGTCCGTAAGTGGGTTAATTGAAGTTGTTGTTGTTGTTGTTTTTTTTTTTTTTAATTCTTAATAATACTGTGGTTTTTTTCGTTTGAGATTTCTCTGGCCGAAGCTAAGGTGGTCTTCAGAGGCTCGCGAAGCAAGCTTTTGGACGCGCGTGGCGCCCCGGGGGTTGGCCGCGTAGTTGCCAGGAGGCGGACCCTTTAGTTCTCAGATATTCTGAAAAGAGATCCTTCCTCACCAGACTCGATGATAGAAATTGTAATGTTTTAGTATACATCATCGACAGCATTAACTTCAGATGTCAATATGCTCACTCTGTATTTTGTTCCGAATCCCTGTACATGACTTGCATTTCGTTGTGCCCAATGAGGCACATACCATCGGCATTTTAAAAGAAAAAGCATTAAACTAAATAATTTTTTCACGAGCAAATTGCCATCTCGAAGTTCTAGCTGACCCGATCCAGCACAAAAATACGCATTCAATTAAGTGTGATCTACACCATTTGTCTGGGTATTACCTTTTTTCTAAAACAACCAAAGATACAAAGAAAAAATGTTCACCTCCTTCCCCCAGATTTTCATTCGAGGCGGGGGAAGTTAGAGAGGGCACTCATCCCTTTTTCAGAATTTGCGAAAAGGAGGGGTGTGTTTGGACGGAAGCGAATACTTTTTTTTTTCTCTTTTTTTTCTTGTCTCCTTCTTTTATTTCTTTCAATTTTTCTTTTCTCTCTTTTTTCCTTCTTTCCTTTTTTTCTTATTTCTTCTTCTTTTTTCTTTTTTCTTTTTCTTCTTTTTTCTTTTTCTTCTTTTTTCTTTTTTCTTTTTCTTCTTTTTTCTTTTTCTTCTTTTTTCTTTTTCTTCTTTTTTTCTCTTTTTCTTTTTCTTCTTTTTTTCTCTTTTTCTTTTTGTTCTTTTACTCTCGAAAAGTATAGAAATGTTTCTTTTTGGGGACAGGAATACCTTGATTATAACAGTTTTTTCCTTCTTTTTTTCTTCTTTTTTTTTCAGGAAACTCACAGCAGTTAATAAAAGATGATCCCTAAAATCCCCCAAGACTTTTCATTACTCAAAAAGAGACGATCAGGAGGAAAAATTGGTTTAAGTTAAAAGCTCTTGTTTCTCCTTTTAGAATTTGATACCTAGAGCAGTCAAAACAAAAATTCCCCCTCCCCCATTAGAAATTCACGGCGCAGGAAAATTTTTCGTTGAGTTCTTTAGAGGTAAGGGGTATAAAAGTCCTAGTTTTAAATCTTTATCTGGATGCGAGCCAGCCGTTTTTGAGAAAAGTATAGTGATTGGGAGGTCTGGATCACCCTGTAGGCGCTTCAGCAAGTACGTGTCAGCAGTCGGCTGGCCAGATGCACGCGCGCAGCCGTACCACAATTAAAAGTGACACAGTGTTCCCCTCTCCATCAGTTTAATCTATTCTCGGTAGTGCGAGCCACGAGTCTCACCCAGCACCGCATGAACAATCGCCGTCAAAACATAGCAACAACTAAATAAATTAGATACAATATATTATCTATTTAGAATTATCTAGGAATATGATGTGAATAATAATTTTTAAACTGCTTTACTTACTTGGGCAGTCTCGGAAGATTACAGAGTGGAGGGAGAAAGAGGAGACACAATCACAGAAATATTCTTTGTTCCACCGATGTGCGATGCGATGTCGGCACAGAGACTACAGAGAGCGCAACTCCAATATGAGATGGTTGTGGGACGCGCTATGGCGCTGGCCCAAGTGCGCAGTCGCGCGGTGAGGTCAATACTTGGCCACCAACTGCAACACTGCCCTGCTAAGGAAGTACGCCGTATGAGCCTTCAGGCGTTGCCAAATTTCCTTTCATAAAACACGAATTTCCTGGTAAACTTATGAATATTTTGCTGCCAAATTTTCAAATAATTTTGTTCGCAATTTCACCTAAAGATTCTCAAAATTTCAAGGAAAAATATTCATAACGTTCCTCAAAAATAGACATTTTATCGAAGTAAATCTGGCAACTCTCGAATGTTCATACGGCGTTCTTCCTTAGCACGGTAGAACAGGCTTCCGTCGTGACTCGTCACTTCTCTTAAGTGAACGGTTTATTTGAAAAAGAGCGTAAGCGCTATAAGTCGAGTTTCAATGAAATATGAAAAAACTTCATAACTTCGATAGTTCTTCAAATTTCTTTTCGAGAAAAATAAGTCAATGTTCTATAATGCGTCTGTCATGAGAAAGACTACGGCAATTTTGGGGGATATAGAGCTCAGTAGGTACCTACTGACATGCTTATCAGTATTATACTTGTTTGATATCAATATTAAAAATTGTGTTGTGTGCCCATGTTCGTGGTTTTTTTTTTTTATGAAGATAAGCGCCCCGTGCTATAAGAGGTGACTCGGAAAATACCTACGCAATTTTCTCACTGCAAAGGCAATTACTTAACCAAATGTCAAGAAAAGACGTTTAAAGAATAATTTTGGTGTAATCACGCACCATAGTGTAAAATTTGCTCGTTTGAATTGAGTACCTAAGTAATTATCTACCTACTTCCCTTACGTTTTTAAACATCTTTTTAAGTTCTAAAAATTTGCAGGAGTCAAATACCTATGCTTCATCCGAACCAAACATATTTACTGTAGAATACAGAGACTTGATTGAAATCTCAACAATTTTGAGTCGTCATTTCCTCCATTCTGATGAAGTATTTGAATTTCAGTTCGCATTACATTAGAAAATTCAAATCAACGCGACGTTGAAACTGCAGGAATGCGTATTTCGTTCAAAGTTATTCAAAATCTCCACTCCAATTTTATTTTCATCAAAAGAGAAGACCGACGCTACTCCTTGAACATTTCATCGATTTTCCTTCAAACAGGGTAAAAAAATCAGGGAAATTCTCACAAAAGGACGTCGAGTATTTTTTAATTTGAAAAGTAAAGTATATCAATAAGTCTGCAAAGTCGCAGATAGATGCGCGTTTTTGCAGCTTCAACGTCAAAGTAGGTACCTAAATATATTTTCAGCTAAAATGCCTTGAATATATCAGTGACGTACCTAGCGTAAGCAAGGGATGCACTGCTTCCTCTATACATTTTTCAATAGATAATGGTACCTAATTATTTTTTGAATACTAATAATTTAAAAGATAGCACAAAAGAGAGGGTTGAGTCAAATTTTTAATTTGACCCGGTGTAGTGGATGTTTCGGTTGTATAAACGCAGAATTGAAGAATCAGTCTGACTCTGTCATTTTGGAGCCTCGCGGTGAAACCCGCTGCCACGCCTAGCCGCGAGTGAAGTGCCTGCAAAGTGAAAACGCCTTAACTTTTGTGCTTATGCAACACGGACATCCGTGGAGCTCGAACAGTTGCATCAAGGCGTGGTGTGTTTCGCGATATATCGATTGATCTGTCTTTTAATCCTATGGAAAAGGATCGATAAACAGGGTGTTCGCAGCGAACACCTTGATAATCGATTATTTACCACAGTTTCAAATGGGGATATATCCATACTCGATCATTCACGCCACGCCACCATTCGGTGCTCATTGCTTTGGGGCCGTCCATAAATTACGTAACGCTCTGGGGGGGGGGGAGGAGGGTCGACGAGAGCGTTACGCATGCTGTTTTTTTAAGTGATAAGGGAGCCGGCCAGGTTGGCCTAGTGGTCAGCGCGTCTGACTCTAGGTCAATAGGTCCCGGGTTCGAATCCCGGTGGTGGCGACAAATTTTCATGGAACTGACGAGTGGATCTGCAGAAACAGATTCCACTCGGCCTTAATCCCTGAAAATTTGAAA